TTAATGCACATGTTCAAAATTTTCTTCAACAAAAAAACCAAGGAAACCGTAGATAGCAATATAAAAAAATGTATAATTCTTAAGTATATTTTCAGGACTTATCAATGGCAAGGGATAATTTTTGAGAAACCTCTAAATGCAAAAAAATGAAACTTTCTGACCCACCAATGATAACTCTTTTACTTTATAGAAATCATAAGTTACATAATGTCTTACGTCAGTGAGTAGAGCGCAAGACACATTTCAAAGTCAATTACCTTCTCAGGCCGCCCATCATTCATCACTTAGTATTTGCAGTCCTCCAGTCACATAGGTGATCCTATAGGCTGTCCTGTCCTACTGGTGGTATCAGAGCACCTACCACAGGAAGGTCAAATGCCAAAGGAACAGCTGGCAGTGTTTGCTTGATCCGCTGAGTATACATTTTACAACAGCACTGATACAATTCTAACAGTTCAACACCAAAAGCTGGGGAAAAAACATCCAGTATACAAAAGTAACTTCAACACTCAAGTTGAAAATCAGCAAACAGCTCTTCCCAGCCGGTTCTACCCCTGCCGCCCCACTCACTCTCCCGACCCCACCCCACCCCCCCCCCCCCCCCCCCCAAAAAAAAAGTCCTACACTGCCCCCTCAACTCCCTCCCGCCATGGCCATGGCAATACAATCTACAAAATCCTACTCTGAACCTAGCCTGTCCACCTAGCTCCCTATCAACCTATCCTTACAGCGCCACAGCAGTGTAGATTGGGGTCTTTTAAAGGAGGAAGGGGGTGACAGAAGTAGAATTGAGTGGAAAGAGGTGCCTAATGATTTTGAGTTTGAGCGTTGGAAGTGATTTTTGCATACTAGCTTGTTCTTTGCAGCTTGTTGGTGCTGCACTGCCATTACTGTTTCAATGATGCTGGAAAATGTATGCTCAAAAACGATTCAAGCAAACACTACGAGCTGTTTATTTGACCTTTTACCTTCTGTGGTTGATTTACTGATAACACCAGTGCCTTCTTGCCGAAAAGTCCGATGAGTGACAGCAATCTGAGAAAAATAAATTCAAGGTGAAATCAGTTTGAATTATTAAATTTTGAGTTTAAGCACATTCATGTTGGGATAGTTTAAGCACATTCATGTTGGGACATCTAAATTATTTGATAGGTGATTATTTAAATAAGCAACACATTTTATTTACATAAACTAAGTAGTAAAAGATTGTAGGGTGTGACTAAGAAAGGAAGTTTTGCTCTTCAAAGAAAGGTATAAACCCTACATTATGTCCATCTTTTAATCATTTAAAAATTGCGGTACCAGTATTCCTTTGCTGGTATGAAAAGAAAGACATGACCACTACAGGCTGAAAAATAAGTACAACCTTCAAATGACACTGAAGCATACATAATATATTGTTTCCGTTTGAATTACGTCAATTAGGAGCAACATTCGTAGGTCTATTTTCAGGAGCCATTAGACAGGTCCAATGGCAGTTTTGAGAGAAACCTAAAGGTAAAAATGAAACGTTTAAGTTGACCTAGCATTGGGTATTCTAATTCTTATTTAAATGTCTTAGTAGGCCAAGACATCGTTCAAAGACAAATACCTTCAAGGGCTGATCTTCCTACAACACTTCTTGTTTCTCGATACAGTGGATATGGACAAACTTCAGGTCCTGTAGGCGATCAACCGGTGCTGTAGGCAGTCCTGTTGATGAAAACAATGTGTCAAAGATAGATTGGTTGATTGAGTAGGTGTTTTACAGCAATTTCTGTGTGTCAAAGAAAGTCCAACATCTCGTGTTTTATTTTGTATCATAGGATAATAAAATTGTGTATATACTGGTGTCGATAAAGAAAATTCATTTAATTCTCTTTCGTTTCATTTAGTTTCAAAGGATAAAAGCATTCCCTCCTATACTGGCAGAAAAGTAGTAGAAGGCAGGAGGCCAAAAGGCAAAAAATCACATTTGATTTTAAAGCAAGAGCCACCAGGGCAAATTTTAAAAATGTTCTAGTGATATTGAATAACATAAGGCAAAGATACTGAAGCAACCAATATCATAAAACATTTGAATTGCATTTATAATAAGAAACTAATGTTCAACTCTTCGGAATATTTGCAGGACCCATTAAATAATGTCCTAATTGGAGATTAATGTCTCTGCCAATAGTGTTCCAAAATATCTTTTAAAAACAAATACCTACTGAGGTTGATCATCATTCATCACTTCAACTTTCAAACACAGGCGAAATAGAAAGTCCCCCAGTGATGTAGGCAGCCCTCCGGCCCTGAATGGTCCTCCTATCCAGTGTGATGAAAAAAAATGAAACTTTCTCACGCACCAATGAATATTCTTTTAGTTAGTCTATAAATAATATGGTACATAATTTCTTTAAAAGCCAGGGCGTAGAATTGCAAGAAATATGTCAAAGACAATTACCTTCTCAGGCTGCCCATCATTCATCATTTAGTATTTGCGGTCTTCCAGTCACATAGGTGATCCTATAGGCTGTCCTGTCCCACAAGTAGTATCAGAACACCTACCACAGGATGGTCAAAAGCCAAAGGAACAGCTGGCAGTGTTTGTTTGATCCACTGAGTATACACTTTAAAAACACCACTGATACAATTCTGACAGTGCAACACCAATACGCTGCAAAGAACAATCCAGTATACAAAAGTCACCTCAACACTCAAGTTGAAAAGCAGCAAGCAGCTCTTCCCAGCCAGCTCTACTCCTGCCACCCCCTTCCCCCTGAAAAGACTCAATCTACCACTGCTACCCCACTCATCCCCCCCCCCCCCCAAAAAAAAGGAAAAATCCTACACTGCCCCCTCAAATCCCTCTCGCCATGGCCATGGCAATACAATCTACAAAATCCTACTCTGAACCTAGCCTGTCCACCTAGCTCCCTATCAAGCTATCTTTACAGGGCCACAGCAGTGTAGGTATGATTCTTTTAAAGGAGGAAGGGGGTGACATAAGTAGAATAGGGTGGGAAGAGCTACCTAACGATTTTGAGCTTGAGTGTTGGAAGTGAATTTTGCATACTGGCTTGTTCTTTGCAGCTTGTTGGTGCTGCACTGCCAATACTGTTTCAATGATGCTGGAAAATGCCTACTCAAAAATGGATCAAGCAAACACTATGAGCTGTTTATTTGACCTTTTACCTTCTGTGGTAGACTTACTGATAACACCAGTGCCTTCTAGCCGAAAAGTCCGATGAGTGACGGTAATCTGAGACAAATAAATTCAAAGGGAAATCAGTTTGATGATTAAATTTTGAGTTTAAGCACGTTCATGTTGGAGCTTCTAAATTATTTGATACGTGATTGTTTAAATGCAGCACATTCTATGTACATAAACTAAGTAGTAAAAAGAAGTACAACCTTCAAATGGCACTGAGGCAAACATCTATTGTTTCAGTTTGAAATACGTCAATTACGAGCAACATTCGTAGGTCTATTTTCAGGAGCCATTAGACAGGTCCAGTGGCAGTGTTGAGAGAAACCTAAAGGTAAAAATGAAACGTTCAAGTTGACCTAGCATTGGGTATTCTAATTCTTATTTAAATGTCTTAGTAGGCCAAGACATCTTTCAAAGAAATACCTTCAAGGGCTGATCTTCCTACAACACTTCTTGTTTCTCGATACAGTGGATATGGACAAACTTCTGGTCCTGTAGGCGATCAACCGGTGCTGTAGGTAGTCCTGGTGATGAAAACAAAGTGTTAAAGATTGATTGATTGAGTACAATGTGTCAAAGCTTGAATGATTGAGTGGGTGTTTT